ATGTGTGTGTATGTATGCATATATATACACATATTTTTTTTTTCGAAATATACGTATTGCTGCATAGTTCACGAGGTGTCCTCCGAGTTTCCACAGGAAAGAAACAGGTACGAGTAAAAGTCTGGTGTCGTCATGAACCATAATCATTAGAATGCAAATAACTGAAACCTCGTCAGGCTATTGTAAGTCCAGGTTCCTCTAACATCCCTTCTTTCCTTACATTGTTCAATCAGGTGAAAACAAACACATTTTCTTCTGAAATAACATGACAAATAAACTTTTAATTTAAAAATGGTATGGGAAAAAAACATATACAACTGACAACAAAAAATTTATTCCATGTAAGAATTACACGTGTGTACATGTACAGTTTGTTATAAAACTAAAGCCACCTTCTCTTGTTCAAAATATCTACACATGGGGGACAAGCAGCTAAAGTACACCTACAAGTAATCCATGAAAAAAACCTGTGCAATTCATTTGCTGGAGGACAATGGCTAACCTATCCCTGTAATAAATAAAACATTAATTCTCCATCTATCTTTGTAATACGAAAACACAAAATAGGCCTTCCGTCTCTGTTCGATCCTGACAACAGAGAGTGTAATTGGTTTTGATTTGAAAATTATCGTTATTTACTCTTTTTTGCAGATTTACAGGTAATAATAATAATTATTATTAAGTTAATGACTAATTCAGCTGTATCATCAAATATGATGCATAAATTATATCTCGCATATGTCTACAGAAGACAGAAATATATCTTTTTACATAAAGAAGTGTACATGTGATTTTGAGTGTTAGTATCAGAAGTCAGTAAAGTGGCTATCTAGAAAGACATTTTTCAATACTGACACAAACATATAAATGTAAGCCTTTGGCATCACTCAACACTTGGCACATGAAGCACTGTGCTGCACACAGAAACACAATACCTGCAATGCTTACTTACTTTTCCTCTGGTTTTGGCTGGTTATCCTTTACTAAATATTCACAATTCCAAAAAGAAAACAATTCGATGCGTGTTTACATTTTTTTCCAAGGTTGAAAAGAAATTTTCGTCTACAGGATACCGCCTATTTCTTTCGAAAACGCGAGTACCATCGGGCAATGCTCTGTGTGCAGGACAGAGGAACAGTGGGTGACTAGTATATGAGAACCTATGGGAGCTGGAGCATGGACATCAGTCCTTAAATTGGTATGATAAAAAAGAAATAAGTGGGAAAATATGTACATAAAAATACAAAAAGACTGAGGAAATGATAACAATAAAATTAGAAGATATGACTTACGTGCCAATGGCTTTAATTATGATTATTTGGTACTACTGAAGGGATAACTATATGAAGACTTTTAGCACCTCATATTGACTTTAAATTGATGTGTATTTCCTGGCTATGTTTGATTTTTCTTTTTACATATAACTTGCAAAAATAACTAGAATAATAAGGTACAGTTCACTTCTGCAGAAAAATAATAGTAGTAACTAAATATTTCAGATATAACTCTCGATACTATAATACATTATCTATTTACACTAATAACTTTTACACATTGTGTTTTTCTTTCCACCCCAACAAATTAAAGTTTTGTTTGAATTTACAAATCAGTGTTGGTTTTTCTCCGCGAAGAAAAGACGAAAAAATGCAGTATTAGGCTTCAGATAACCAAAGTAACAATGAAATATGGGAATTCTCCATTAAGTAATCATTGCCCAACGAAACACCAGTTTTCCCTTTTTTTTTTGCCCATGAACTCAAATTTATATTTTTCCGGTAAAATATTTTTTTGTCATCCAGTGAAACTAAATACTAATAGCACCATTCCAGGATTTTCTTTTTTTTACCGATTTAGACTGCATTTCAAATATTTACATTTGACTTTTCATCCAATTTTGTAATACAAGAGAGAGCTCAAGCAATCCTGCAAAGCATACTTAGGAGAAGCCTCCTCGTTTGTACATTCACTGAAGCTCAGTTCACCGTAAGACGTAAGAAAATAAGATTTGTTCATAACAGCTATGAAACCCATGTCTAATCAGTGTGTTCGTCAGTCGTAGCAGAAATAATACTAAGACTGTCGCAGGCTCCACCTCCCTTTCGTCTTGTTGAATCGACTCATAAGAGTAAAGGCGATATTTTCTTATTTTCATTCCGCTCTCTATACATCTCTTTTAAAGTTCGTGACCAATGAATGGACACACACACATTTATATAGCTTTAATTAAGCTATGATAAACTTCCAGATTATTTCCGAGACCCCGGAATTTAGTGTTTAGCAAATGCAATAGTTTAAATAAATCGCATAAGGTGGATTCACTTCATATTAGTTTACGTACAGGACCATATTTCCATGAGAAACATTATGACTGAATCATCTTCAATATCTCCTGTTTTCTCTTCCTTCGGCAAAACCATCTACAGAAGTCGATATACATTGCAAGTCGGAAAAAACAACACATAACGCTGAGCCCTCAGGTACCCCATCAAAAAAGTGAATTCACTTCTTTACTAAACCTTTAAAAACAAAAATTGTATAGGCCCATTCTCAGGTCTGCCTCCCCTCCCTCAGTGACGTCCCCCCACCCTCCACCTCTGAGACACGAGATCTTTCTTCACTAGTGCAATTGCAAAGCTTGCATGAACCTCAAGCCACGTCGAACACCGCTCGGCCACTTCTTTCTATCGCTCTGAAGCCTGATCATCCCCTGAGAATGCACTGACATCTCTCCAAGTGAGTAAACCACCAAACTAAGTGCTAAAAGACTATCTCCGTGGCACACACTTCCTAGTCCTTTTCCAAAACGGTAGCTAGATTTACGACATACTGCAAATTAACATGGTTGCAAACATTTCCATAAAATTTTAAAATCTGCAGTGGATATGGCACTTTTACTATTTAAAACAATAGTACATTTAACTACCAGTACTAGAGTAACCTGCGTACTGAACTTAATTAACAGACAACAGAAAGTTTAAAAATTAATTGTGTATATATATATAACTCCATACATTAATATTATGGATCATAAATATTAATAAAAATAAAATCCTTCAAATTCACTACTCAAACTTGCTATCCCTGCATTAAAAACAAAAACAAAAAATCCTTGATGTAATTCGCAAGTACATAACACGTTTAGGGCTTTTGCTTTTTTTGGATTACATTACATATAGCTACAATATATACTATATATATATGACTTGGATAAATAGCACCCCATCACTTCAGGTCAACTCTGTAGATACGACAGGCTGAGGTCTTCCCACTTTTTTTTCACTTCGCTTAAACTCAACACATTTTCTTTACTGCTTGTCTCCGCAGTAATACCATTTGTGACCCATGGCTTAACATATGACACGTCTTTATTGCTTCTTGCTAGTCTATGGCCATATGAAAATACTATGTTCACTTCACATTCACAAAGCACTGGCGTTAGTTCCATTCACTTTTTTTTTTTTATCTCACTACACTCATCGCTGAAATGACGTAAATGAAGTGTCACTGTCTACTACAGAGCGGCCCGAAGACTAGCAGAGGAATTCTAGAAAATAAAGTTACTTTCTTGTGGTCTCCACCTGGCCTATGCTTAGCAGTATTGAATTTTTTTTTATCCGGTACTACTGTTAGGCCCTTTTCTTCACTAGTGCAATTGCAAAGCTTCCCTGCAACATCTAGTCCAGTGTCCTCCCTCGGAACAGTGAGTAACCGGTGACACAAGCTGCCAAGTCAGAGGCGCTTCAGCGAGGAGTAAGGACGTCTGAGGTGTGCGACGAGTCACAGCTGTTCGGAGGTGTGTCCAGCTGAGGTGTCGAGAAGTCTATGTAATCCTGCGGGGGGAAGAAAATTGCATTAGAGGAGTTGCTCTCTCTGTGAAACCTCATCAAGGAAATAACAAGAAGGGGAATAATGAAACAGCAAATTCTTACAAAATAATGATTAAAAAAACTAACCTCCGTCGACGATAACGTGAGGATACGATCTAAGTCTTCCACGAGCTCTTTGAAAGTCGGACGCTGCGTTGGCTGGTACCGCCAGCACTCACGCATGATCGAGTAGCTGAAAAAGAAAAACAAAACGATAATCTTATATCTTTATTTTGACACTTAACATTATCAATCATGTGCTCTTGTAATAACTTTTTTGTTAAGAATTCACGATAAAATAAAAAAAAGTAGTCAAGATTTCCGAAGAAATATATAACTTTAATAAAATATAATATCACACGAGACTTACATTTCAAGCGAACAATTAGAGGGCTTCTCCATTCTGTGACCTTCTCGGAGCAACTGGAAAAGCTTCTCGACTGAGGGCACTGATGGGTATGGAGTTCCACCCAGAGTCATAATCTCCCACAAAAGAATTCCGAATGCCCACCTATTGGACAAAAAGGAAAACCATTGGTTAAAACGGCAGGAATGAAGTACTATACAGAGACTCATAAAAACATCAGTTTCTCTGAACATCGCCAAAATCTCACATAAAAGGTATATCCCATTATTTTTCTTCAACGAGTGGAAGTAGAAGAAAACGTTGCCAGGACACTTACACATCTGACTGCGAAGTGTACACTCTGTGGAAGAGAGCCTCGGGTGCCATCCACTTGACTGGCAGGCGGCCTTCGCTCGTCTTTCGATAATAGTCTTGGCTGTGAATATCTCGAGCAAGACCAAAATCGGCTATTTTCATGATCCCGTCCTTACTGACTAGAACATTTCGTGCGGCAAGATCACGGTGAATGCACTGAAAAAGAGGAAATTCAAGTTATAGGCACTGTCATATGGAGAGTACGTGTGTGGCTATGCGTGAAGAATCATTGGGGGCAAGAGAGTATCATAATGCAATGGACAGAATGTTGGGTAAAAGGACTGTATGTCTACTGAACATCACAGCCTATAATACCTTTTTAGAGGCGAGGTACTCCATTCCGCGAGCCACTTGGTAAGAGAAGCTGACCAGATCTCTCTCCGTGAGCGCGTTCGTCTCCTGACCAATGGCCCTTTCATAGCCTGAGGATGGGCGCTTATTACGCAGATAATCCCTCAAGTTTCCATGCGCCGCGTATTCCACGACCACGTACAGCGGGCCATCTTGGGTGCAGCATCCCAGCAAATTGATGATGTTGATGTGTGTGCCGATCATTTTCATCATCTCCATCTCCGAGACGAGATCCATGAGCTCCGCGTCCGTGTGTCCCTCTGTTGCGAAAAGAAAATGCTTCATTAATGTCTGGTCCGGACCTGTTCTTGTACATGGAAAGCAAATATACACAAACCAAAGCCTCGTATGATTATATATGTAAATACATTTTACTGATACGTTAAAATCGCATCATCTACCACAACTCACCCTTCAGCATCTTCACAGCGACGGTGGTGGTGAGATCGGGCCGGTTGATGCCTTGCACCTCCGCCTTCACGACCTTCCCGAAGGCGCCTTCGCCGAGGGACTCGCCCATGATCAGCTTCGAGCGCGGCAACTCCCACAGGATGTCCAAGGGCAACTCGTACTCGGATATCCTCGTGTTTTCGGAGCCATTGTGCGAGTTGGACTGGCACCGCTCGATCTTGATGGTGGGCACGATGAGAGGCTCCTGCGAGGCGTCCGAATTCTGGCGCTCGACGATGACCTGCGCGGAACGTTTTGAGAACCGAGTCGAACCATAAGCCCCGTAATAAGGCTAGTCTTTAAACAACACCCTACCTACTATAATCCATCCATTTTCAAATAACACCAGAACTAGACCTCGCGAATCTCAACAAGCCAAGACAACACTCCACTACCTTCTTGATCCACTGCTGGGTGATGACCTCCTTGGCCCTCTCCAGCTCCTTGGCCCGCCGCTTCTCCTTCTTCCACTTCTTGCAGAAGCACGAGAGGATGAGGCCCACGCCGGCGAGGGCCACGACGAACACCGCGGCCAGAATGGGCACCACGTGCGACTGCGCATCTGCAAGGATGGGCTCCGCTGAAAAACAACACAAGCTGTTCAGAACCACCACCGCCACCACCGCAGCTGAGCAATATGAACGACTTGACTGCAATGCGACTGGCAAAGCACAACAGGGAATTCGTTGCAATGTGACGGCGTCCGATTGCAAGACGCAACGGACGCCTCACTTGCGAATGACTGGATTTTGCACTTAGTCAATCTCTTTCATAAAACTCGCTGCTCTTGTTAATCTTCTGGTTAGTATGGAGTGATTTATAGAATTGGCAGAGTGACTATCGAAAAAGAAGAATGTTACAGTCATATATTAACAGAAAAGAATAGTCGATTCTAAAACAGAAATATAATAAATCAGCAAGTGTAATATTATATATATATATATATATATATATATATATATATATATATATATATATATATATGTGTGTGTGTGTGTGTGTGTGTGTGTGTGTGTGTGTGTGTGTGTGTGTGTGTGTGTGTGTGTATGTATATAATGTATGTATGTATGTACATGTGTATATGTATGGATAAGTATTATGTATGTGTGTGGGGAAGGGGGGGGGGGGGGAGTGTGAATGTGAGTGTGAATGTGTGTGAGTGTGAGTGTGAATGTGAGTGTGAGTGTGAGTGTGAGTGTGAGTGTGAGTGTGAGTGTGAATGTGAATGTGAGTATGAGTGTGAGTATAAGTATGCATATGTGCATGTGCGCCCGTGCGTGAGCGTAAGTGAACGTGAATGCGTACGTGTATGTGTAATGCGTATAGAAGTACAAAGGAAAACAAAACTCCCCCGCTCGCCCCATTAGCAACAAAGACCACCATCGGCTTACCATCGATCACATTCAGGTAGGCGGTGGACGACGAGTAGCCCAGGCTATTAGCAGCTATGCAGGTGTACCATCCGGCATCTTTCTCGGTGACGTTGGTGAGCAGAACCACCTGAGGATCTTCCGTGCTTGTGATGTTGCCGCCCTCCTGCGCCACGGACATTAGATTAGATTTATTGACATAGTGTCAGGAGATATTGAGGCCATTCCCGAGTTTAAATGATTTGTGACAGTTTTTTAATTTCGTTTAAGCCTGCTCTTGGCAACTGTGCAAATAGGCATCTACGTGCAACAGCCGTTATACAACCTTAAAAGAACCTTAATTAAAATCTATTCCTTGACTATAAAAAATATACTATTTGTAAATACTCAAAAATATATCAAATGGAAAATCATTTAAATATAGCTTATGATGAATAAACAGATGTACAAATCAAAACACACACATCATGCAAGATATGAAATAAAACTGCGTAGACATACTTTGATAAGAATGTAAAAAGTTTCCGGAACAAAACATGCACTTAGACTAGGTTTAAGGTACACAAGTAAGTACACACAACAAGCAATTAGAATATTCATGCATATTATCTTAAAGGTCATGCAAAAAAAAAGCCAGGCATGCAGATTATTACTTATAAAAAGTCTGTCTGTGACTCTAATGATTATAAACTGCGGCAACACATGCAGTAATATCCATCAAACATCGGCACAATATCTGGCCACTCTTGAATCAATAATGAAACTAGTCTTGGAAAATTGATATGCCGATACGTAACACTGCGACACATTCAACACATCGTAAATTCTTTTGTTCAAATCCAAGGTAAAATGTAGTTTTTGTTCGTTTTTTAAAATTTATCTTGTTTATTAATTTCTTTATCATAATTTTTTTTTCTCGCTAAACTGAGGGTGGAGGGAAAACGCATGCACCCCTCGCGCGGGCATTATTAATTCCAATCTACACGTGTTAGGATCATGTTTCTAGGCTTCACACGTTTCCTTCGGAATGCAATCTGACCTGGCCGTTTACGGCTGCTGCGAGTATTGTCTCGTTTATAATGATTTCAGGGGAATCAAAGTCCGCATCCGGATCTAACTGCGGCAAGTCCGTCCGCCAGACAATAAACGAACTGAGAGTGTTTTCTGTGTAAATGCCCACTTCCAGCTTCACTGTGCTGCCGCGTATGACGGTCATATTTTTCAGTTTCTTGGTGAAGATTGGTCGAGCACCGATGTGTTCTAAGGGGCAGGGACAAGAAATTGAGGGAAGATTAATAATAAGATCCTTTTATACCAAAGGAGGAGAAGAAAAGGAGAGTGGGAAAAAAGGGGAAAGAGGAGAGATGTTTACCGTCACCTTAAGCAGAAACCATCTTAAAATACTCTGGAAAGGAAAGGAAATTTAAGGGAAACCACATACCACTGACCCCGAGAAGAGCGTAGCTGGACCACTAATGCCCTGCATACAAGAACCCAAAGCAAGTACTTACAAGACATAAATCATAATCGAACTACGTGTTTCTACTGTCCCGTGCATTCCACACACACAGAACGGTGCACCATACAGCCTGTGCAAGAGTATATTGAAAGGAAAGCCACGTTACCCCCCTAGGAGAAGTTCCCTTACGGATTTTGACAACAGAAAAGCTAAAATAATTGGCATTGTTTCTCAAGACTCTGACTAGCTTTTTCTGATATCAAAACCTCAACGCATACTAACGATAACAAAGGGGAAGTTACACCTACACCCGAACACCATACGTTACCAAAGTACAATGAAGTATTCAAAAAGAAAAATCGCATACTTTATTCCACCACCAGCACCCACCACCACCAACCCCACATAATGCACCTTCTTCTTCTCTGATCTTTACCTTAATGATCAAAAGCCTGTTAATAACCTTGCCCTGGCTGTCAACGCCATTATCCCGGGTCGTGTGCTTCAGCCAGGTGATGTAAGGCACCTGGTCTGAAATCACGGAGCACTGCAGCCGGGTTTTCGATCCTTGTACCACAGTGCGGTTACTCAGCTCCTTGTTTATGATGGGTCTGCTGGGGAGGCGCTCTAGGTGCAGAGAGGGCGGGGCCTATTAATACCACTGGGGTGTGCACAAACCTGCCTATCGGGCGTAACTCTTGGCCGTCATGAAGCCAACGGACCTCTCTTTCTCTCTCCCTTGTGCACAGGATGGCACACCAAGGGAAGCCAACCATAAATACTTTTAACCATTTTATCTAAGCGTGAAAGTAAATAAATAAATCGATGAAGAGCTTAACATCAGGGTCTTCCGAGAAATGTATTCATATTTGAGAGAAAAGGGTGGATTTCAAGTGACAAATATTCTTTCAAAATCAAGAAATACTTGTGAAAAAAAAAATCACAATGCAATTAATTCCTTACACTAAAACATTAACATCTGAACTCGTAGATTAAAACCAAAAATCAACACTATATTATATTTCTCTTATCTTATCTTATCCAAAAACTTTGAAGCTAGTATACACTGCTCAACAAATCAAATCACTTCAACGTAGGTAGCCCGTCCACCAGAAAACAACAACTCACCAATAACTTCCAGCGTGTACGTGTGGTTGATCGAGCCGTGCTCATTGGAGACGATGCACGTGTACTTGCCGGAGTCTGTTGGCACCAGGTCCTCCATCTTCAGCGTGGAGGCCTTGATGCGCACGTCTCCGTACTGCCGCGTTGGCTTCGCGCCGTTCTGGTTCAGGGGAATGGGTGAGGCGAGATTAAAAGGGCGAATCACTATGGCTATTTTGGGTAGAGGGAAGCGTGAACAGCAGGGGATAAATAACGTACGATTCTATTTAAATGGAAGGACACCAAAAGTACGAACAGGAGGTAAAGATGAAGTCCGTTTACATGGAAGGACACCAAAACATTTAAATAAAATCAACACTTTGTATTCATATAATGCCTGCGCTTTGTTCTTCAATCTCTACTATTACACAGTTGCCATACCTTCAACCAAGTGATGTTCAGATTGAACCCGTTGGCCTGGCACTTCAGCTCTGCCACGTTGCCGGCTGGCTTGATCATCAGCGGCTTCAGCGTCTTGGTGAACTTTGGCTTCAGGCTTTCAATGTCCTCAGCGTCCGGCACTAACACTTTGCTGTCTGCGTGTAGAGCCTGGCCAAAAAATGTCGACAAAGCTTTTTTTATAAATTTATGACACGGAAACTATGTATACTGCATGTCAGAATAAGGAGCAGAATAAGCAAAAGCATTTCATTAAAAAAAAAAGTTTCTCCATACATATTAACATAAATATTGCTGGCTCTATCATAAAAATAAAAAAAATCACAAGAAACTCCAAACCGCTTTTACCTGAGGCATAGTGGAGATGGGTATATCTTCCGAGACGAGGAGAGTGTAGTTGACCCAGCCCTGGCACTGACTCCCGTTCCAGCGGCACGCGTACCGCCCCTCGTCTTCGTGGCGGACGTCGTTCACGCGCAGCCGGGCCTTCTCCCTGCAGGAAACAAGGGCCTTAGGATACCCATATACACAACGAGGTGCCTCTTTTGTTCCTTGAGAGAGAGAGAGAGAGAGAGAGAGAGAGAGAGAGAGAGAGAGAGAGAGAGAGAGAGAGAGAGAGAGAGAGAGAGAGCGAGAGAGAGAGCGAGAGAGAGAGAAAGAAAACAGCGGAACCTTCATACAGTCTTCATAACAAGACAATTACCAATATCCAAAAAAAAGGAAAGAAAAGAAAAAACAAACAAACAAACAAATAAACACTTACTTGTTATCCGACACTTTGATCCTGGGGTTGCTTCCGGCCTCGAGAACCTGGTCGTTGTAGAACCAGGTGAAGTCCACGACGCGAGGCAGCTTGTAGTCGACCTTGGGCTTGCACTTGAGGCGGATGCTGTCGCCCACCGTCGCCCGCCGCTGGGTCGAGACGTCGCCGAACACGCCCTCCAGCGCCATGTCCCGCCCGCCGCCGCTGTCGTAGTCGTAGTCTTCTGCAGGAGAAAGGGGGAGGCTTAGGGCGCTGCCGAGACGAGGTCACGAGGAGGAATGAAGGCGAGGGGGGGGGATGATAACGATAGTCATAGTAATCATAATGGTCATTGTAATCATAACTTACTTGTAAATTATTATATATATACACATATACAAGTGCGTCTGTGTTATGTATGTATATATATTATATATATATGTTATATTATAAAGAATACTATATATATATTATATTATAAATAATATATTATATATATATATATATTATATTATGAATAATATATATATATATATATATTATAATATAAATAATATATTATATACATATATATATATATATTATCTTATATATATTACATATAACAAATATTATTTATACATTAAAAATGCACACACATATACATACATACACACATACGTATATATACACATTTACACACACACACACACATATATATATATATATAATATATATATATATATATATATATATATATATATATATATATATATATATATATATATATATATACTTATAATATACATCACCTATACATATCATACATAAGTGTATGTGTATGTGTGTGTGTGTAGAAAAATAAAAATAAATAAAGAGAGAGAGAGAGTGAGAGAGAGAGAGAGAGAGAGAGAGAGAGAGAGAGAGAGAGAGAGAGAGAGAGAGAGAGAGAGAGAGAGAGAGAGAGAGAGAGAGATGCATCAATCGAAGATCTGTCACGGACAATTTACTCTTTGTAAACCCCATCGGAAGTGCCTATCACGACTTCCCTGAAAGCCACAATTACCAAGTTCGATTTAATTGGTCCCCGTCTCCCACACTATCATCAAAACTCCCCTCATCTTTATAATCTTAAACCATTCCGTCAGGAGAACACCTTCTACGTCAGCGGACAATGACGGCGCGCGAAGGAATACGAGTTAGTCAAGGGCGCGGCGCTGAAGAGGGCTGCGGCGGCGTCGCGTCAAAGCAAAACACCAATTTGGTTGTTTGAGGCGACGGTCGTTCCCCCGCTCCGCCATCTGGGCATCGGCGCTGACTAATCACAACACTGCGAGAGGACTGGGAAGATGCTGTTGCAAAGGGCGTGAGATGCGGGCAGCAAGAGCTATCGTCAGATGTTCTGGCTCGCGGATAAAGGGACATTGGTTGCTTCGCCGAATCGGGACGGCAAGCAGAACCCATGGGCGATATTTCCCCAATGTGGAACCGAGGACGTATTTTCTTGCAAGCAGAAAGAGCGTTAATCAGCTCCCGACTAGGCTAGCCCCCCTCCTCTCCTGTCTTTCGTGAAAGTACGATCTTTCGCGTCGCGATGACAGCAGCTGTGACGGTCTGGGAAGACAGCCTTTCACTCCGGCCGCAACATCCCCTCCCGCCTCCCGCCTCCTCGGGTCCGGCACGCACGTCCGCCCTTGCCTCATCACTCATGTAGGCTTACGACACCGCCGGCCCCGTGGCCCGGCCGTTACGAAACCCACTTCTCCAGACGGTAATCCGTTGCAGATGTCACCGGCGAAACAATCTTTGATTTGTTCCATATGCGCCGGCGTAATGGGCGATCGCAGGAGATTATCGGGCGGGATCTCGGCCGCCTCGCAACGGACATTGTCATGCCCGCGACGTGGCGGTTCATCCATCACTCTCGCTAACGAGTTGTGATTGGCTTTTGTCGCGGCGGTCTCCACCAATCGCACGGAATGCCCCAAAGAAATGTCCAGCCAATCACCGCTCTCTGTTGTCCACTCCGGGCCGTGATTGGAGGTCAAGTTGGACTGATTTGCAATGTAAAGGAGCGGCGCGCCGTGTTTTTCGACCGGTTGTGGGCGCCTCGACTCCTGGCTCGGCCGCCGTCGTGCATGTCATACGAGTATACATACCGCGGAGAACTGTGCCAGGGGGCGCCCTGGATCTTTCTCTACTGCCTCCTCCCCAGTCTCCTCGTCTCTTGCAACATCATAATGCAATGCACCGCAGCGTGTTGCGGTGGAGAACAACGAACGTTTTGCAATTAGTTCGACAAAACATGCAAAGTAGTCTCGGCGGCAACCACAGGCTTACACACTTCTTAAATTCTCCCGCTATGCATGGTGTGTTTGGGAAAAAATGCGCGGGTTGTTTCCGGCGGCCCCGCACATGTGGCTGCCATCTGGAGGCCGCCCTTCTCCGCCGCCCATAGAAAAAGCGTTTGTCCTGCCTCCGCCCATTCCTTCGCACAGAGTTGAGTTTGGTTCCGTCAGCGCAGTCGATATCCAGCGCCAGCGAACATGTGATCACTCATAGACGTAACTGTCAACAGCATAACCACGACCAGACACATCGCCTACATTGTTTGCGATATGAGTCTTCAAGTTCGCAACCCAAGTAGATTGGATCAAAAGCACTTTCACAGAGAATTGAGGAAGATATTTCGTTGTCTCGTCTCCCAATCAGCTTCTAAAACTTATTTCATATCCATATAAAAAAAAAAAAAAAATCAAGAACACTCCTCGCTCGCCGGCAACGACCGTCCAGGCCAAAGCACAGCGACGCTACACAGATGTCGATATGTCACCCGCGAGCTTAGGTTACGGCCCCCGAAGAGCTCGTTGGACTGACCGGGGATTAAAACTTGCCCAGCTCAGTAAACATCAGCGTGGGAGAGCCACATAAACCCTCCCCCCACCCCCCATCCCCCCTATCTACACCAAGACTACCCAAAGCTGTCCATCGAACACATTGGCGACGCTGTGTGGTGATGCCGCTGTGACCCTCCGTCTGGCTTGCCTCCGGACACTTCCCTTCCCGCGGTTAATATTCCCCGAGCATTTCCGCCAAGAAGCAGAATCCCGTGCCATTAACTCAAAAGATCTGCACAATAATTTAATAAAAATCAATTAACACGTAGCGAAAACAAGCAAATTCGTACCTATGCTATTTTCTTTGCCGACGGGCTATCTGCGTCCTCCATTTTCACAATCGATATCCAGCGCCAGCGAACATGTGATCACTCATAGACGTAACTGTCAACAGCATAACCACGACCAGACACATCGCCTACATTTTTTTTGCGATATGAGTCTTCAAGTTTCCAACTCAAGAAGATTAGATCAAAAGCACTTTCACAGAGAAACGAGGAAGATATTTTGTTGTCTCGTCTCCCAATCAGCTTCTAAAACTTATTTCATATCCATAAAAAAAAAAAAAAATCAAGAACACTCCTCGCTCGCCGGCAACGACCGTCCAGGCCAAAGCACAGCGACGCTACACAGATGTCGATATGTCACCCGCGAGCTTAGGTTACGGCCCCCGAAGAGCTCGTTGGACTGACCGGGGATTAAAACTTGCCCAGCTCAGTAAACATCAGCGTGGGAGAGCCACATAAACCCTCCCCCCACCCCCCATCCCCCCTATCTACACCAAGACTACCCAAAGCTGTCCATCGAACACATTGGCGACGCTGTGTGGTGATGCCGCTGTGACCCTCCGTCTGGCTTGCCTCCGGACACTTCCCTTCCCGCGGTTAATATTCCCCGAGCATTTCCGCCAAGAAGCAGAATCCCGTGCCATTAACTCAAAAGATCTGCACAATAATTTAATAAAAATCAATTAACACGTAGCGAAAACAAGCAAATTCGTACCTATGCTATTTTCTTTGCCGACGGGCTATCTGCGTCCTCCATTTTCACAATCGATATCCAGCGCCAGCGAACATGTGATCACTCATAGACGTAACTGTCAACAGCATAACCACGACCAGACACATCGCCTACATTTTTTTTGCGATATGAGTCTTCAAGTTTCCAACTCAAGAAGATTAGATCAAAAGCACTTTCACAGAGAAACGAGGAAGATATTTTGTTGTCTCGTCTCCCAATCAGCTTCTAAAAAGGAGACGAGCTACTTCTTACCGACACTCAGAACAAACACTAGAAAGGTAAGAGAGGCACCATTCAGGGGCACCGCTATCAGCTCAGAGTGCCAGCAGGTGTCCGGGTGGCAGCCTTCAGAACACACTGTAATACCTGCTCGAGCCTCCGCATCACACCCACATGTCTGTCGTCCTTATGGGATCTTAAAGGCTAGTATCAGGGTCTAGCAAGTGAGGCAGATCGGGGTCGAACTGTGCATCTTATAGAGAAGTAGAGAGAGAAAAGAGAGAGAGAAGGAAGGGGAGATAGAGAGAGAGAGGGAAGGAGAGAGAGAAAAGAGAGAGAGAGAAGGAAGGGGAGATAGATAGAAAGAGAGAGCAGTCAAACTAACAAAAAAAAAAACAATCGAATAATTCCTTTGGCATGGCAAGAGATGACACTGACGTTTGATTATCAATATTCCCGACGTGATCAGATAATACTAATTAAATAAAATAACCCTCACTGACAGACAATCTTTCAAAAAACTATAAAAGAAAAGAAAAGAAGCATAAACCTATATACACCTGAGACTACCACCTACGACCTCCCTCCCTCCACCGCGGCACCGAAACCCGTGACAACAGCGGCCGGCTCTCCTCGACCTCCGCCGCCACTAACGAGCTCGACGCCCCCACTATTAACGAGCTAAACGACACCGCGACGTCAAGCGGAGGACGGGGCCGGACCGCGACTCGCCCGGGGGTCACGAGGGGGACGGTTGACCCCCTGGTGGCCTGTCGCAGACCCTGCCTGACCTGACCCCACCGCGCCCAGCAGGAGTCGAGGAGGCTGAGGAAGGAGGGAAGAAGAGGAGGAGGGAGAGGGGAAAAGGGTAGGGAAGAGAAGAAGAACAGAGGGAGAGAAGAAGAACAGAGGGAGAGGGAAAAGAGGGAGAGGGGGGGGTGTAGAGGAAAAGGAGGGGGAAGGAAGATAAAAAAAAGGAAAAAGAAAACAGTAAAAATAAAATAAAACAATAAGTACAGCACATGGCTTCGCATAAGGGAGAGAGAGGGGGGAGGGGATGCCAGGTCAGTGCCACCCGAGATGCCCTGGACCTCTGCCCCCCCCCCCTCGCGCCCCCCGCGCCCCAGGG